GACTATGGCAAAAAAGGCTGTTTTCCTAGATGCTTCCAGCTGAAATTCTATAGTAGGTCCCTTCTTTCAGAACCAGTGGGGCAGGCCAATCCATTTGTCCAAGATGGGTCTTCAGATATTCTTGATATCCTATGTCATAAAGGGCTTTGAAGGCAATAACTACCATATTTTTCAGAGTATAAGACGCACCAAGACTTTGAAGAGGCAAATGAAAAAAAAAAGTTTTTGCACTCTGCAGACTTCCCCAAAATGGCCCAGTTTTTGCGAAAATGGGCCTGTCTTTTGTCAAAAAAGGGCATGCATAGCCTTTAGGAGGCTTGTAGGGTGCTCCTTGGGGGGGGGTAGGAATGAGCAAAAAAATGCCCTGGGGTTTTTTTGTGTGTGAGAAAATGGGCAGTTTTTTGACAAAAAAGAGCCAAGGTGGCGCAGTGGTTAAATGCAGCACTGCAGGCTACTGCTAGATCAGCAGGTCAGCGGTTCAAATCTCACCGGCTCAGGNCCCCCCCTCCTCCTCCTTCAAGTGAGACTCTGTTTGGGCCTCTGTTAATCTCTTTCTTCATTTTTGTGGTTGAGTGAAACAGCTACTTTAGGCCAAATTGGATTATTCATGCTTTTGGATACCATTTTTAAAATGGTATACGCTGCCTTCCGGGAAAAAGAAGCAGGACTCTGTTAATTTTTTAAAATGTCACAACTTAACTATTTTTTTAGTCGGGGGGAATTTTGAGGGGGTAAATATGTGAATGGGAAAGTATGTGTGTGGGTATAAAGGAAGGAAGAAAGTTACAAAAGAATGAAAACAAGATAAATGAGCATGAAAAGATATAAACAAAAATAATCTCTAAGTAAGTGTTTATCATGTTGGTCTGTTCCTGGAGATGGAGTTTGAGATATATTTTTAAAAAGTAATTTATACAATAAAAAGCAAGAAAGCACTGAGAAGCTTTTGGAATTATTTAAATGTTGAAGTAGCTTTTTTCAGTGAGTGAATCTCAAAATCTGCCTTGGAATATTGCAGAATGTAAGGTGTCTTAAAGTTGCCAAGGTTGGGAAATATTGGGGTGATTGTAATGTTGCATTATGTTCTAAGAAGGACATCACCAGTTAGGATAAATTATAGAGGAGAAAGGATCGTGTTGATAAATGCAAAATCCTAGCAGGGTATAAAGGAATACCTGCAGTGGTGGGTTTCAAAATTTTTTAGAACCTATTCTGTAGGTGTGGTCTGTTTTGTGGGAGTGGTTTGGTGGTTATGTGACCGTGTGGGAGTGGCTTGGTGATCATGTGACTGGGTGGGAGTGGCTTGGTGATCATGTGATGGTGGGAGTGGCTTGGCAGTTATGTGACCGGGTGGGAGTAGCTTGACAGTCATGTGACTGGGTGGAAGTGGCTAACTCGATGTGACTGAATTCTTTGCTGCAAAGAATGACCTACAAAAAGAAGATATAAAAAAGGAAATTTATTATTTTGTGCACTTACTACTTAAATAAGAATAAAATAAGTACACAAAACAAAAAAACAGCTACTTACAGAGGAAATATAGCTGTCCTTGCCAGTCTGACCACCTTACACACACTCTTTTAGCAGTCCCTCTGCCTCTTCCCTGTTCCCCAACATCCTACACCCTACCCCACCGCAGCCACTCACCAGTTCTTTCTTCTTCTGGTTCTTCTTCTGAGAACCTTTCGGCAGCATGGTGCAGATGGGCAGGGCAAGTGAAAGAGTGAACGAGGGGAGGGAGTGTTTTGGTACGGGCCCTCCTGACCAACGGGTATGGGAAGGCACAATAAATTTCACCATCTGTACCGGTCCGTACCGGTTGAAACCCACCCCTGCCCCATTCCCTCCCAATCAGCTGGGACTTGGGAGGCAGAGAATAGATGGGGGCGGGGCCAGTCAGAGGTGGCATTTACCGGTTCTCTGAACAACTCAAAATTTCCACTACCGGTTCTCCAGAACCGGTGAGAATCTCCTGAATACCACCTCTGGTTGAAGTCCATCTTCAGAATCATGGTTACTTTCTGGATAACATTGGGCCACTCCTCCCGATTGAACCAACAATTTCAGAGGATTGTTGGAGGGGGAAAAGTTGGAGGAGCACTTATGAATATATAGGGAGTCCTCAACTTACAACTACAACTGAGCCCAAAGTTTCCATTGCTAAGTGAGACAATTATTAAATGGGTTTTGCT